GGGGTGTGGGAGGATTGCGCGGGGTGTCCAGAGAAAACGAGAAGCCCACTTAGGATGTGGGGAAAGTTCCCCAAACATACTCAAAAAACAGGAAACAAATCAAACACACTCAACAAATCGCATTTTTAGAATATTTTCGAACACTCCTCCTGTAGAGGGACAGGCACGACTGAACCCTGGCCCAAGGTGCCCCCAGGATTCCCACGGAGGCCCCCAAGGCCTCCCAGAGCACCCCATCACGAGGCTCAGGGGTCCCCAGGGGCTCCAAAATGGAGCGCAGAGCCGAGGGCACCTTGGGCCAGGGGCACCTTTAGCACCCCCCGGCATGGTGGTGTTGGAGGAGAAGAGCACCAGGCGCCGGTCGACCTCGCGAGGGGCAGCTGCCGGGAGTCGCTGGAGGTGCCCCTGGCCCAAAAGGCGCCCCCGGCGTTTGGCTCCGCCTGGGCCTCGCGAGGGGTGCTCTGGAGCAGGGCTGAACCTACACGGTGTTGTTCGTTTTCGTTTTGTTTTCGTTGTCCCTCGTTTTGTCTTCAATGCGCCTTTAACGCAAAACGAAATCGAAACGAAAACGACCCACGAAATCGCCAAATCACCGGTTAGGTCCACCCTGCTCTGGAGGCCGTGGGGGGCCTCCATGGAGATCCTGGCGGCACCTTGGGACAGGGGCACCTCCAGCAACACTCGAGGTTAGAAAAGCGAGGACGAGGCCCAGGGACAGACGAGGACCCCGGGGACGGGGGCCGCGGAGACGAGGACCGCGAGGGCGAGGGCTGCGAGGGGGAGGACGAGGACGAGGAGAGCGGGGGCGGGGGGGACAAGGGCGGAGGGGGGGAGGGAGCAGAGAGGGGGGTGAGGAGGGGGAGGGAGCGAGGGAGGGGTGAGGATGGAGGGGGGATGGACGGGGGAGGAAGGGGGCGGAGGGAAGGGAGGGGAGCGGGGACGAGGGGCGGGGGGTCTCTCCGCTGATGGGTGCCACGGTCATGGATCGTGAGCCCAGCTTGATTGCCTGGGACGGCCTGCAAGGATCTGGCGGAGGCACCTGTGTGGGGAGATGTCCGGAGAGAAGGGGAGAGGAGACGAGGGGAGAAGAAACGAGACGAGAGGAGAGAAGAGGAGAGGAGAGGATCTTTTGCAATGAGCCGAGGAGGCCCTTAGAAGAACGGGTCCTGAATACCCCGAGACTCCCTTAAAAAGAACGGTGTTTCATCCCAAATCGTTTTCATTGACGGCCCCCGGGCCGAAGAAGGGCCCAATGACTTCGAACTTGGGCCCCTCCCTAAATTCCGATCCTCCCAAACCCGCTAGAGACGGCTCTCCGAATCTCTCCCGGAGTCCATCCTGCCAAATTTCGACGACGACGACGACGTTGGCTCATGTCGACTGGGGAACGTTCGGGCTGGACCGGCTCAGATGGGGGGAGCATCGAGCTAGAATCGGCACTGAATCGCCGACTGATCGGCGACAGGCCCCGATATCGAATCCGCAGTCCTGGGCGGGGTGGACCATCGGGCCCCTATCGGCGATCAACGGGCGAACGTTCTTTTTGTTCTTTCCGGGGTCACGGTCGTTACCCGTGGAGGGGTGAGGGGGGGGGGTCGGGCGGGAGGGTAACGGTAAGGGCGGCCGCGGCGCGCACCCGCCATGGTGCGTCCGCGCCACCGGCGCATCCATCGCCTGTCTGCACCACAGCACGTAGTGGGGGGGATCCGGGCCCCCCCCCCCCAGTTCGATCGTTAGCGTTTTAGCCAGGGGGGGGGTAGGGGGAACGCTGGCCTGGGCAACGAGCGTTACCCTGGGGAGAATCATTTAAAACAGAACGTAATAAATAATAATAATAATAATAATAATAATAATAGTAATAATAATAACAATACGAATAAGAATAATGACTAAATTAACTTGCCAACAAAGAAAGAAGAGAAAACAAAAATGGGAAAACAGCAAAACAAGCACGACAACGACAACAACAACAACAACAACAACAACAACAACAACAACAACAACAACGACGACGACGACGACGACGACGACGACGACGACGACGACGACGACGACGACGACGACAACAACAACAACAACAACAACAACAACAACAACAACAACAACAACAACGACGACGACGACGACGACGACGACGACGACAACAACAACATCAACAAAAACAAAAAAACAAACAAAAAAACAAACAAAAAACGCTCACAGGGGGCGATCTGGGGCCAACCGCCCCCCCCCCCCCTGGGAGCTCCTCGCCCCCTACCGCCGTTGCCCTCGACTCCGGTGCGCTGGCTCCTCGGGTCACCGCTCGGGCCCCTCCAGCGGCCGCTGGCGGGATGATCTGGGCATCCCGGAACGAGGAGGAGGAGGAGGAGGAGGGGGAGGAGGAGGAGACGGAGGAGGAGGAGAAAGAGGAGGGAGAGGAGGAGGAGGAGGGAGGAGGAGCGAGGAGGAGCGAGTAGGAGAGAGGAGGAGCGAGGAGCAGCGAGGAGGAGGAGGAGGAGGAGGAGGAGGAGGAGAAGGCGGAGGAGGAGGAGGAGGAGAAGGAGGAGCACCCCGAGGCTGGAAAACTGCCGAGAACTGCCGAAGAGGTCCACCAAAAATGTTGGGCTGGCGCGGCGGAAGGACTTGTCGCGGGCAGGTTGGTAGATGGCTACTGCTGCGTCAGTGCGCGGTCACCTGAGATACCTACTTTCAACGACCGTCGAGTACCATGTACCTCTCGGAGGAACCTCAGGGGGCTGCCCAGGATAGCGGGCGCCACAGAGCGCTTCGTGAGCCCGAGCGTCCAACAGTTTGCGGGGCTTTACGCTCAGGTTGGAATGGGCTGGGGGCCCTTCCCACTCCCCCCCACCCACCCGCGGCTCTGGGATCTGCCCTTATTGGGTACATTGCGGTGTCCTATGTCCAACGTCCAATGATAGGTGCGCTTCTCTTGGAACACCCTCTCCTCCTCCTCACCCTCGCCTTCTCCTCCTCGTCCTCCTTCGAATCCCCTCTGTTCCCCCACCGCCCACACCTCCTCAAACCCCAACATTCATGCCCAGCTCTGCTTCGCGACCTTTCGCCTCCTCCACTCCCCTTCCCTTCTCCACCGGTGCTCTCTCTTTTCGCCTTTTTACTGCGTTAGTTCCTTCATGGGATTATCATATGACTTGCACACATGGACATATGACAACCCAGGTGGCTGGCGCGCGCCCACCACATCACTCAACGTGCGAATCGAAACGCATACTTAGAAACATTGGCGTTATTGCAGCATCTGTTTTTCACAGATGGTACGTGGTAGAAAACATTACACACGCACATAGCTCGACCATACCAACAAAAATACGGCGAACAAGTTTCGAACAGATCTGGCAAAATCTATGGCCGCACGACTTCCAGATTGAACACCGTGCAAGCCGACCGCCCCCCCAACCTTGGAGGCAGCCGAGAGGTCGGAACTGGTTGGGAGGGAGGGGGCTAAATCCGCTCCTGGGATCCATATGGCGCAATGTTTCACCCCAGATCCGTTTCTCCCGCTCTGAAGGGGCCCTGGGACACACAAACAAATACAGACACATAACAGGATTCCCCATATTCTCTCATGTCTTCTGGGCTCTTGTCTTTCCACCCTTTCCCATCTTTTCCATATGTTCTGGGGAGTCGACGATTAATTGTGTCTGTTTGAGACGCTCGAAATGGGTACGGAAAAAATGGGTACAATGCCCAACAACCAATGTTGCCCCAAACTAACAGCGGCCGCTGTTGGGCAGGCGGTCTACTGTCTCGAATGGACGCAGGCCGCGGCGGCGTGGACAGCGAATCCTGTTCAGAATGAGCAGGAACTGCTGTTAGGCATCGTACCCATTCTTTCAGTGCCCATTTCGGGCGTCCAGAGCTCTGGGGAGTCGACGACTCATTGTGCCTGTCTTTTCTCCCCTCCCGACGGTCGTCCGGTCGTGGGGCCCGGAGGAGGGCCCCCGGAGGCCGGGCACAGACCTCCCCGAGCCCAGCAGCGCGAGCCTGCCCGCTCTCCCCCTGCTGGCCAGGGCCGGTGCTGGGCCACCCACCAGACCACCCGAACCCAACCCGAAGACCCCAATTTCGGGTGGGGGGGGTACGGGTTCCATACGTGTTTTTTCAGTGTTCCCTGGACCCCCCCCCCAACTGGAGATGGAGGGCAAATTGAGGCCTTCGGGTTGGGTTGAGGTGGTTTGGTGGGTGGTGAAGTGCTGGGCCACCTCGGACCCACAGGCTCAAGTCGGGAATGTCCCTCCAAGAGGAGGAATACCTCAGAGCAGTAAAAAAATGTGTCTGGTGGCGATGCCTCGTGTTCCTTTGACAACGTTTGGCAATGCGTCGGCTGCGTTTTCCTTGTGTTCCAAAGTCCGCCCGCAGGAGGACACGCCCGACCGAACCATGGGAGGGAAAGAAAGACGGGGCGGGCCGTTGCTCGGAAGGCCCCCAGCCTTCACTGAGAAGTTCCCTGAGCCTCCCCCGAAGACGCAGAAAATAGGACGATGCCAGGACGAGGATAAATTCGGGTGAGGGTAAATCTCGAGTAGGGAATCGACAACATAATTAATTAGCCCCAAACTTCATGTGTTCGTCGAGTCCATGGAAAATGCGCAGAATGCCCGTAGGGTTTTATACACATTCGTTTGTAGATTCGGCAGAAAATGAGTTTCGAGGTAAAGTAACTCTATAGTCGATCCCCTCCTCGAAAATCGAGACTCTCTCAGATCACGCGGCTCAGGAGGATGACTCGGGCGGCGCGGCCTTCTCGGAGCGTTCTGAAGCGCCGTGAGGAGAGTTCCGGAACGCTCTGGAACGGACTTATCCTCCTCGCCCTGGCCCCGTCCGAGAGAACCTCTCGGCAGGCCGGAGGCCCTCTGAGAAGCCCCGCAACCTTCTGAGAAGGCCTTCTCCTTCGCGTCCGCCCCCCCTCGCTCGCCGCCGGCAGACGGCTACACCTCCAACCTTGCCTCTGAGACCGCGCGGATTCTGCTGCTCCCGCCCACCGGCGCCACCAGGAGGTCTGGGAAGGGGAACGGCAGCAGCTCGACCTCCCCGCCGTCGCCGTCCTGCCAGTCGGGGTTCAGGTACAGGAGCGCGGTCAGCTGCCGGCGCGCATCCTCCGGCGGAACATCCCCAGAGGGGGGACACCTTCCTCCCCACTCCTCCTCCTCCACTGGTTCACTGGTTCACTAGCTTGTCCCCCAAGACCGTTCACAAACAGTAAGGGACAAAAACCTTGCTGCGATCTGCCCTGAGCCTCTGGCCTAGGGCGTGTCGCAATGGGCTGGATTCGCATTGCCGCCTCGGCACGCGTCGTCGCCCCATCACCTTCCCATGCCCCCCACCCACTCCTCAAACGCAATGCAAGCTATGACGGCTCATGCATTCTGATGCTGGGGAGGAGGAGACCGATCCAGGGGACCGGGGAGAGGAGGGGAGAAGAGAGAGAGAGAGAGAAACACAAAAAAGAAAACAAGAAATGAGACAGGTGCCCGGCCCAGCTCCTGCTCGTGCCACATGGCCCTTGCCACGCACTTGAGAGAGGAAGGGAGGAAGTGCCCATGCCAACGTTCCACTCACCCCCCAATTCTGATAAGCCCCCTATAAGGAATCTCTTTGGGCACCCCGTTACCGCACAAGGGTTCAGGTCGGGATCTTCGTTCCGACCGCCAGCCCGGTGCGTGGTGATACATGCTGCAGCGGGGCAGCGCGGGAAGGGAGTGGTCCTCCACACCGCCGCCAAAGTATCCCCCGTTCCTCCTCCACCTCCAAGTCATGAGCCTTGCACAAGGGACAATGCAGGAGCGCAGCTGGACCAGGCCAAAACGCCGTGGGCCTAAGTTATGGCTGTCTTCCCACCACCGTGACCATACCTGCCCTCCCACTTCAAGAAGCTACTGCGCAGTTGCTGCGAGGAGGCGGGAGGACATGCGGCGAGAGAGGGAAGGAAGATGGAGGATAATAGGATATGGACGGAAAAAGGTTCGGAAGGGAGGGATTCAGAAGGAGAGGATCCCTGCGCTGGGAAATAAAAAGCATTCGCTGCTCTTCTGCATTCTAGCATGATAGAGCCCAGACCCGTCACGACACGCTGCCGCAAAATCATCATGGTGACTCTCCCAACCCGCCCCCAGATTGGGAACCTGCTCTAAGGAGGGGCAGGTTCTAAGCTGGTTCAGCTCCTTCGCACTCTGGCTCAAGGGAAGAGTGGGCCGAACCAGCGAAACTACCAACAACAAAGACTCGAGGGCATCTACGACCCCAAACTCCGCTGTTGAAGAATCAGCGCGCCACGGCCTCGCACACTGCCGATCATCAACTCGTGTTCCTCCTTATTTCCCCCCACACACACCACCTCCTCTACCTCCTCCAGGGTGGGGCCCTGCCAGGCGCAAAGGGCTGCGCGGAGCTCGTTTCAGCCCGTCTATTACCATTTTCGGCGGGGGGAGGGGATCAGGGAGAAACGTCGATGGAAGGTACATGAAACCGAGAAGGTGATGTGCAGGAAAGATGGTGAGACCCTAGCCTTCAAGAGCTCTGACACACAGATCGAATCGACCCAACACTGGCACGCTCTGCACATGGAAGCTGGTTTCAACTTGTTGCACCTCTCGCCACACATATCACAAGTGGCCTTGCCCGTTGTCGGAGCTTCGATCGTGAAAAACGAAGTGGTATGATTCACGTTCTGGCACCGAGCACACTGCAAAGAAGCTGCCTCAGGCTGCGGCATCAGCTCGTCGGCGACGTTGTCCGCGCTGCCCGCAGACGGGATCGTGGCATCGGCAATGGGCTCTTTATGCTCACTCTCGCTTTGGGCTACCTCCAGTTGGAACTCACTTAGTTTCATGAGGAGACCGTTCATGAGAGTGCGAATCGTGTCCAAGAGCTCTTCGTACTCGCTGGCCTTCTGGTCGCCCTCACCACCTGTGCTCTCAGAAGTTCGAACACATGAGGACTGCGTTGTGCCATAGAGATACCAACCGTTTCTTCCAACCCCAAAGCGTTTTGCAATAGCTGCTGGCATAAAGCGCCAGAAGCGGCACCAAACGTCTGGTGCACCAGCACGACCTCATTCAAGATGAAACAACCAGTGGCTGTGTTGATGTCGGTCTGGCTCTCCACGTCGATGCCGTATCACGGATGGTGGACCTCACACACGGCGGTTTGCTTCTCCACATGAACGCATGTGTCAGAGATGTCATAAACTCTGGCTGCGGTTTGGCGATGTTGTCCTTATCCTTTTTCTCCTTGGTGTCAACCGATCGGACCAACTGGGTGGCTAAATCTGTCCACCTCCTCCCCTCTACTGGAAGATGCCGAACACGTGGTAGAGGGAGGATCCTGGCCCAGCTGGCCACTTCTTCCCTTCATGTTGGCCCGCCACTTGCCGTTGTCGTTGAGGTCGGCCTGCACCTCTCCCAACAATGAGTCGATGCTCGCCTGGGAGATGTGGCGGACTATATCGTATGCATGGTCTATTTTGATCAGCTCAGCCTTACACGAAGAAGACAGGGACGGAGAACTTCGAGCTGCACATGCGAGCCCTTGATAGTGTTGGCCTGACGTTACAGACAGCACAGCCAACAAAACATCGCGCAGAAAATACACAAACAAATGTTTCTGCATTGAGTGTGGAATGTGAGAATGGGCAGTACCCCGCAGTGCCGCTTGAGCCAAAAATGGCTACGGAGTCCTCCTCCTCCTCCAGCTCCTTCTCCTCCTCATCCTCCTCCTCCTCGTCCGCCTCCTCCTCCTTCTCCTCCTCCTCTTCCTCCTCCTCCTGTTCCTCCTCCTCCTCCTGTTCCTCC